AAAAGAATGACTCTGTTATTATAGTCTGCGAATCAGAAATCCGGGTAAGGAGCTCTGTTAACCCGGGAGAAGGTGTTAGACACTCCCGAGTTCCGTGGTTCTAGCACGGTCGCTTTGATCATACTTGGCTTATACAATTATTGTAGAACCTATATGCTTTTGCTTCTTACCGCTTTTTATTAGAAAATTATCTTGAGACGGGTTACGCGTACGTATACCCGCCTGTTTGGTGCGTCAAAAATCATGTCACGCGAACGTGTCCACAATTAATAACGCTTAATTATTATTAAGAAAAGTTTGAGCCGAAGTTGCGCGAACGCATACTCCGGCTTTGTTTTTAGAAGTGTAGTTGTGTTACACGAACGTATACGGAACCACACTTGGTATTTTAAACGGTCCTAAAGGATATTCTACGAGATATTATTTTTATCTAGCCTACGAAATTACTAAAAGGGCATATGTGATTTAATGAACTTATGTGAACTAAGAAAATAATTAAAAGCTTGTAGCCTATTTTATTATTAAGCAAAGATTGAGCGAAGTTGCGCGAACGCATACTCCGAATTAATTTAGGATCATGGTCATGTTACGTGAACGTATGCGCAACCACAATCGTAGATTAAATCGTGCCTAAAGGCAAACTACGAACATTTGTCATTTTATATCTATGTTATAAGAAATTAATACGGGGGCCATATGTGATTTAAGGGTTGATGGCACATCTCGATTTTATTCTAAAAGGGTATTCGAACTAAATTATGAAGGGCCATGAACTAAGACCTAAGGGAATTGTGACTACTTCACCAAGAGTTGAACCCATTATTAACCCAAAAGACTCCAGGCCTGATGGCAGGCCCAAACACTCTTCAAAACCTCTATTCAGAGACAAAAAATCATGAGGCTGTCCGAATGCAATGGACTGCCCTTCAGATGAAAGGGTCTCGATGTTCAGACCCAAAAAGAGCCCAAACATTAGTGAGCATATGTTGTGGGCATGAGACTAGGAATCGAACCACAGAAAAGACAAATGTATATGCAAATCAACCAATGTTCTAAGCACTGTTACCATCATCTGACTCTCACAGAACCCGTATCAAACCACAGGCTTCAAACTGATTTAAAACACATGGACATCACTAAGTTAAAATGCCCCTAAACAAAAACCCAGTCCCAAGTTTGTGCATAAGTGGATCTGAGTATGTGATACACAAACCCAAGCCCAGTCTAGGCTTGAGAGCCCAGGTATGTCCAAGCTCAAAATCAGAGGAAGACTCGAAGTTGAGTCTAGATCAGCAACCAAATCTGCTGCATTCAAACATGTTAATTCTTCATAATCCTATCCTAATTACACGTTCCATGTTAACTCTTTATTTCTTCATCACTCTTGGTCTTTTCTCTCTTCTCTTTTTTTTTTTTTTTTTTCTCTTCTCTTTTTCTTGATTTTCCTCACTTTTTCTTTTCTTATTTAGCCGGTCAGCATGCAAGCCAAAATAAATGAATGTTCACATAGCACACAGGATGCATCATGATGGCCTGTTATTTTAGGGTACACCTGTCCTAGACGCACCCAACCCCTGTGTTGAGTCCCCTAAGTCAAAGATGCACGTGATGCATATAAGCGCTCCTACTAGGGATCCGGCATGAGCCTGTGTTTTTCTAAGTTTCAAACACCTGGGGTTTTGGTCTAGGCTTGGGGTACCCGAGCGGACAACTGGGGCCGAGGAGGGGGCGACGTACCGGGAGCACTGAAGTCTGCCCGGCCTTGTCGCTTGCCCAGCCTCGCTCTATTTGGTATATTTTTCTAGAAAAAGTGGGCTACGCGAACGTATGCACCATTTTTAAAAAAAAACTAAAGGGGTGGCGTAAGAAGACAATTATATACAATGCAACAATATTAAAGCGGTAAACAGATATCATTTAGCACAAAGGTTCACATAATGCAATAATATCAATAATAAATAAGCCGAGTAAAAATCATAAAACAAGCTCGAATTCTTGAACCCTGAACAAAAGTTCTGGGTTTTAGTTCCCCAGCAGAGTCGCCAGAGCTGTCACACCTCCTTTTTCCTACACCCCCGCAAGGGTATAATAAAGGGAGTTATTTCCAACTTGAAGTGACAATCGAAACGGGATTTATTTAATTAAAAATCAGAGTCGCCACTTGGGAGATTTATGGTGTCCCAAGTCACCGGTTTTAATCCCGAATCGAGGAAAAGAATGACTCTGTTATTACACACTGCGAATCAGAAATCCGGGTAAGGAATTCTATTAACCCGGGAGAAGGTGTTAGGCACTCCCGAGTTCCGTGGTTCGAGCACGGTCGCTTTGATCCTACTTGGCTTATTAAATTATTTAATTACTGATTTTAGAACCTATGTGCTTGTGCTTCTTTCACCACTTTTAATTAAGAAAATTATCTTGAAACGGGTTACGCGTACTTATACCCGCTTGTTTGGCGCGTCAAAAATCATGTCACGCGAACGTGTCCACAATTAATAACGCTTTATTATTATTAAGAAAATTTGGGCCAAAGTTGCGCGAACGCATACTCCGATTTTGTTTTTAGAAGCGTAATTGTGTTACGCGGACGTATACACAATCACACTAGTATTTTAAAACGGCCCTAAAGGATATTCTACGAAATATTTAGTCATTTTTACATCTAGGTTATGAAATTAATGTGAGGGCCGTATGTGATCTAATGAACTTATAGAGACTGAATATAATTAAGACTCGTAACTCNGCCTTTATAGGCAAGCTAATAGGGCAACCTTTCAGATTTTAATTTACCCCTTAGGTCCCTGATTTTATGACTTTTTCCTCTTATTTTCTGACTTGTGTCACAAGTAACTACCCTAAGTTTACTAAAGTCTACACTATAGCCCATCCTAGAAGGTTCTATACTTATCACAATCCCTATCCTATCCTTACCCCTCTTCAAAAATTACCAATTCTAATAAAACTACCCTTTTTCCATGCCCAAACTGCCCTTAGAACCTCCTGAAATTACTGGCCATGGCTAAACCCGCCAGCTATAACCAAACCACTAATCTAGCCTAAACTAATTAAGATTAATTAATAAAACTTGAAGCTCAAACTGAAATTAAACCAATTAGACTAACAACCAGGTTCATTTAGTCAGACCAAAACTCCAATTTAGACATGCATCAACAACTATTGAACAAATACGGATCCAAAACAACAAATCAACCTATTAACCTACTGAGTCAGAATCAACTTTATTATCAGAAAAGCAAGCCTATCAACTTGAATCAAAACTAATAAGAAGATCATAACTATCAATTGGTTGGCCTAAACGAACATTTGGATATATAAACTGGCAAAGGTAAGATGAAGTACAAACTAAGAATTAACCAAACTAACACTCAAATTAATCACAGAAAACAAATAAAAATTGACTAACAATTAACAGGAACCAAAAATTCAGAGAAGAGAAACTTACTGGCTTTAGGAATTCTGGCCAACCAATGACGCTCGAATCTTTCAAGATTTTTGACATGCAACATCCCTAATCATGTGTTTTCGCAAGAATACACCTGGTTAAGGATGGTGCGGTCCAAAATCACGAAGATTTTGAATTAGGGTTCTGCCGGGATCGAAATTTTAGATTCGTGACATTCTGGACAGATTCGAGGGACGGGGCTTGGGGGGTTTGAAAGAGGAGGTGAAGGTGGTTAGGTGGTGTAAATTTGGGGTGGTTTGGGCGGGGTTTCGTCGTGGCCGGAAAAGTTTGAGTTAATATTCGAAGGGCCCGACGTTGATTCGAGGGAAACTAAAGGCAGGGTTGGAAAGAGGGGAACGAGGAGAACCGGTGGTGTAATTTTGGGGTTGATCGGAGCATCGCCGCCGGCGGCGACGATTTCCGGCTGGCGGCGGACGGCGGAGGGACGGTGATAGATGATGGGGCTAGGGTGGCCGGCACCGGCGTTACAGGGGGAGGGGGGAGTTGGTACGAGGAAGAGAGATTTTGGTCTCTGATTTTGTACAGGGATTATTACATTTTTATGTAAATTCCCTGGACAACTCTGGACCGTTAGATTGGTATGGACGAAAGGCTGAGATTGATTCACTATAAAACGACGTCGTTTTGGGCGTCTCTGGACCAGACTGGGCTGGGGCGTAGATTGGGCTGGTCTGGGGTATGTTTGGACTGGACCTAACTAATTAAAATTAACCCAATTAAAGCAGCCCCAAATATTTCCCTTTCCCTTTCTTTTTTCATTTTGTATTTATATTTTTTTATATTTTTCCTGATTTTGTAAAATAAAAAATTAAAGACCTAGTATATCTTCAAAGTTGAGCTAATTGATTAAGTCCTATTTAAAGTAAACTCCAGACAAATTCAACAATTAACAATTAAAAATGCAAAATAGACTATTTTGTTATTTCATACAACTTAACCCCTAATTAATCCTAAATGTGAAATTAAATCCTAAATGCAAATGCCAAATGTATTTTTATATTTTCCATATGAACAAAAAAAAACACAAATAAAAATGCAACAATTACCAAAAATGACACAAAATTCACAAAAAATTGTAAAAATAGAGAAAAGATCATTTTATTTTAAAATTTTAGGAATTATTCATATAGGGCAAAAATCACGTGCTCACAGCAGATTCTGGTCAACTACACCAAAATACACACTACTTTTATTCATGTTTTCTTCCAGACCTAAAACCCTTGAGAACAACTTGAAACATGCATACAAGGCTTTAACTGAAGCTATATCACCTCTACAGAACAGTAGGAGATCATCTGCAAACCCAAGTTGTACTATGTTCAACTTTGCATATTTTGGATGGTATCTGAACTCCTTGTTATCCTTCAGCCCTTTTAGAACTCTTGTGAAGTATTCCATAGCAAGTACAAATAAGAAGGGAGACATAGGGTCTCTTTATCTGAGCCCTTTTTTGCTGCGAATGGCTTAGTAGGATTACCATTAATGAGAATGGAATAGGATACTGTTTTAACACACTTCATGAGCCATTGGATGAATATCTCACAGAAATTAGCTGCATTAGAATCTGTTCTAGAAAGCACCACTCCACAGAGTCGTAGGACTTCCTTATATCAATCTTCATACAATATCTTGGTGAAGTGGACTTCCTGTTGTACCCTTTAACCAGTTCATTGCTAAGTATGATATTGTCTGATATCACCCTGCCAGGTACAAAAGTTGACTGGCAATCATCCACCAAATAATCCTTTACCTCTTGTAGTCTGCTAGTGATAAATTTGGGATATAACCTTATAGATGGTGGTGCAACAGGATATTGGTCTGAACTCAGATACTTTTGAAGGATACTGCATCTTTGGTATCAAAGTCACTGCAATACAATTAATAGGCTTATATAGCTCGGAGTTTTGAAGAACACTTGCACAACCTCAACTAGCTCCTCCCTTATATTTTCCTATGCCTTCTTAAAGAATACTGCATTATGACCATCACACCCTGGGGCTTTAGAATCATCTATACGTTGCAAAGCCTGGAAGACATGTTCTTTTGAAACAAGAGCTATTAGCTTTAACTGTTGGTTTCTTGTCAGCACATTTCCCCTCTTCAATACCTCAGGTTCTATAGCTGGAATTTCCTCTAATGATGATCCCGAAAGCTGCTTATAGAACTGAGTTATCTCTTATTTCACCTCCTCCAGAGTTTGTGTATATGTTCCAGTCTGAGTGAGCAGTCTAGTGATTTTATATCGAGCATTTCTATTCTTGATGCTTGCATGGAAGAAAGCTGTGATGACCCAAACGGTCATCACTTGTTTAAAATTAAATTCTATGTTTCCGAGGCCTTGAAAATCTCATTTAGAGTTACCTCAAATTGCGTGCACAGTCCGGGCGCGTAGCCGGAAAGCTTAAATATGGAAATCTATGAAAAATTATAATAAAAAAAATTGGTTATAAAATGAGCTAATTTGACTTCGGCCAACGTTTTGGGTAAACGGACCCGGACCCGTGATTTGATGGTCCTGGAGGGTCCGTAGGAAAATATGGGACTAGGGCGTATGTCCGGAATCGAATTTCCGAGGTCTCAAGCCCGAGAAATAAATTTTCAAAGGAAATTATTTTCTGAAATTGTTTAAGGAAATTTGAAATAAAATTTGATTAGAACGTGTTGGTATCGGGCCTGTATTTTGGTTCCGGCGCCCGGTACAAGTCTTATATATGATATAAGATGTTTCCGTGAAATTTGGTGAAAAACGGACGTCATTTGACGTGATCCGGACTTAAATTGCTAAATTTGATACTTTATGAAGTTGAGAGGAGTTGTTTGATTTTGAGGTTTAATTCGTTGTCGTTAAGGTTATTTTGGTGATTTGATCGCACGAGTAAGTTCGTATGATGTTTTTGAGTTAATATGCACATCTGGTTTGGAATTCCGAGGGCTCGGGTGAGTTTCGGGTAGGTCCCAGGATGTCTTAGGCTTAAAAATCATAGATGTTGCAGGATCAGAGAAATTGCAGATCTCTGAACCCGCTAGTGCGGTCCGCGAGATATCGTGTGCGACCGTGGAAGGGGCAGTGCGGTCCGCGGTCGACTTGGTGCGGTGCGCAGTGGAGGGCTGTGCGGTCGCAGTCGACTTTGTGCGGTCCGCACAGGGTCATAGGAAGAGCTGTGCAGCCGCAGCCCGTTTTGTGCGGTCCGCACAGGGATTCTGAGACTGTGTACCCTCAGGAAAAGGCTGTGCGGCCGCGGTTTATTTTGTGCGGTCCGCACAGGGATTCTGAGAGGTATATATATAGACGGGATTTTCACTCATTTTTCATTTATCAAAACCCTAAAAACATAAGAGGCGATTTTTCAAACAACCTTTCTTCTCCAAAACGTTGGTAAGTGATTTCTAACTTATTTTCTTCACTCCTTAACATCTTTTAACATGATTTCGACTTAAAATCAAAGATTTTCATGGGGGAAATTGGGTGTTTTGGGTAGAACCTAGGTTTTTCAAAAATTGGGGATTTGGACATCGATTTGAGGTCCGATTTCAAAACAAATTATATATTTGAGTTCGTGGGGGAATGAGTAATCGGGTTTTGGTTCAAACCTCGGGTTTTGACCACGTGGGACCGGGGCCAATTTTGACTTTTTGGGTAAAACTTTGGAAAACTCATTTTCATGCATTCAAATTGATTCATTTAGCGTTTATTGATGTAATTAAGTAACTTGTGGCTAGATACGAGCGAATTGGCGGAGGAATCAAGGGGTAAAGCTATAATTGAGACTTGAGTTGTGTTCAAGGCATCGAGGTAAGTGTTTGGTCTAACCTTAGCTTGAGGGATTAGGAGTTGAGTCCTATTTGCTATGTGGTATTAGTCGTGTACGACGTATAGGCATGGTGACGAGTATCTATACGTTGGTGTCTAGAATGACCGTGAGTTCTTAAATTGTGAATATCTTGACTTCGTGGTATCTTTCATGCCTTGGTGATGATTTATATTTGTTGTGAAAATCTTGTGGAAGGAAATTGTGACCTTTGAACATCGAGGAGCATTGGCTCAAGTTATATTACAAATTGTGAAAGTATATGAGATGATTGAACCCTTTGGAACACTGGCTTAAGTGGTAAAGCGAGTTATGAAATAAAATTGAAAGAAAGAGAAAGAGTTATTAAATCGTTCCCTTGCCGGGATATTGTTGCTTGTTGATTATCTCCCTTGCCGGGGTGTTGAGATTATTAATGTTGTTCCCTTGCCGGGATTTGATTGTTTAATTGTGTTCCCTTTCCGGGATTTCTATCATTATTTTGCTTATTTCCTTGCCCCTTTGTTTATGATTGTTGTTTGGGTGAGGAAGAGTGTTAAAGCATGAAGGGTGATGCCGTAATTTTTTGCTAGTGTGAGGAAAGAGTGTAAAGCACGAAGGGTGATGCCGTGCCGCACGATGTACCATTCCGTGCCGATTCTATTGATTATATGTGAGAAAAGAGAGTAAAAGCACGAAGGGTGATGCCGTGCACATTTTATCATATAATTCCTTTGGTGAGGAAAGAGAGTAAAAGCACGAAAGGTGATGCCGTGCACGTTTTTATTATATCATTGCTTTGTGAGGACGAGAGTAAAAGCACGAAGGGTGATGCCGTGCACTTATTGAATTTGATTCTTGTTGACATTTTTGTTATGGTGTTCCTTTCCCTACTTGATGCTTTATTTGGAACTGTTATCTCCCCCGCAGCATGTTCCCCCCTCCCATCTTTACTTGTTTATTTCTGCTTTACTTTCCGCTGTATATTATATAACTGCACAGGTTTATTTGGTAGTCTGGTCCTAGCCTCGTCACTACTTCGCCAGGGTTAGGCTAGGTACTTACCAGCACATGGGGTCGGTTGTGCTGATACTACAATCTGCACTGTGTGCAGATCTAGGAGCAGCTTTTGGACAGTAGTTGGAGGGCTTCCTTCAGTCCACCCGGAGACCCAAGGTAGACCTGCGGGCGTCCGCAGGCCCTGGCGTCTCCCTCTATCTCTATTCCCTGTTTCATTTTCTACGTTCAGAAACAGTTTATTGTATTTTCTTCAAACCTTGTATGTAGTGACTCTTAGACAGTCTGTGACTCTGTGACACCAGGTTTTGGGTATTTGAGGTTTTAAAAGCTGTAATAGACGTAGTCTTAAGATATATTACTGTTGACTTCCGCTTATTTATTTAAAATTCCGCTGTTACAATAGTATCGTCTGGTATTTTGTTAAAGAGAAGAAATATGAAAGAGTAGTAATTATGTAAAGTTGGCTTGCCTAGCTCCCATTAGTAGGCGCCATCACGACTCCCGAGGGTGGGAAAGCCGGTTCGTGACATGTTGGTATCAGAGCTCTAGGTTACATGGGTCTCACAGTTCACAGACAAGCTTAGTAGAGTCTGAGGGATCGGTACGGAGACGTCTGTATTTATCCCCCAGAGGCTACAGAGTTAGGAAAAATCTCACATTTGTTCTTTCTTGTCGTGCGGTTTGGTTTCTTGATAACTAGGGATTTTGACGTGTTTCATGCTCCTTCTTACTTATGCTTTGATTATAAATTCTTACAAAATAGTCCCAAAAGTCTCATAAGTGTGCTTGATTGCAGGTTTGATCAACAAAGTGACGAGATGTCAAGTATCGGCTCAACAAGGAGTGAAACCTGCACAAGTATCAAAGACAAAGAGAACTCAGGACAAACTAGCCTAGTGCGGCAGCAGTCCACTTTGTGCGGTCCGCACTAGGGAGATTGAGAGAACTAGCAAATCAAGTGTTAAAGCAGTGCGGCCGTAGTGGAGATTGTGCGGCCCGCACTGAAGACTCTGCGGCCGCACTACCATTCTACGTGGTCCGTGGACGCCAACTTCAGAGAGTTGTCCAGAGCATACCATCAGGCCTATGCGGTTCGCGGTTGACTTTGTGCGGACCGCTCTAGCTGCCTCAGCGGCCGCGGTCCGTTCTGCGCGGTCCGCGGAGCCTGGGTTTAGAGAAATGAATTTGAAGAGTCAAAAGCCTAGTGCGGCCCGCACTGACCCCGCCGGGGTATTTTTGTCCAGTTTTTCCAGCTTAGTATAAATAGACCTTTTTTCCATTTTTAGGGCAATCAGTTATTTTATTTTAGCAGCTGCGCTCGTGAGAACATCATCTGTAGCCATTTTTGGCATCTTATCTCAGTTTTAACGATAGATTCTTGTATTTTACTTTAGTGTTTAATTAATATGTCTTCTTCTTCATCTATTTCTCTATTTTCTTGTTCAAGCATGAGTATCTAAACCCATTAGCTAGGGTTGTGGCTCAACCCTAGTGTGGGTAATTGATGGGTGTTGTGATTTAAGGTTAGATTGATTATGGGTGTTTTTTATTTGGGTCAATTTTATGGTTTAATTTATGAATTAGTGGTTGCAAACACTAGTTTGTGCTAAGTTGACTTGGCTCTTCTTGAGAAAGAGAGCCTAAGTCTCCAAAATTGACCCAACAAGGAATTGGGATGGACTCAAGATATTTGATAGTCCCAATTAAAGGGTTAAACCTCGAGAGAGTAATTACCCGACTTGAACCCTAGTTGCTCGGGCAAATATGCATACCCAATTGGTCTCGAGAGAGTCAAATGGGCAAAACCACTCTTTCTACCGAGAGGTATAGAGTGGGTAGTATTGAGCAACGGTTATAACATATTTCCCCAATTATGTCAATCAGGCTTTAGAAGCAATTACCCGTCAATTAGCCACCTAGGTGAGGGTCACTACCCTAGTGCCCCTTAATCCATTAGATACAACTCTTAGCAATTATCTCTTAGCGTAATCTAGTTTCAGTTCTAATTAGTAGCTTTATAATAGTAGTTTATAAAAGAAACCCCAAAAATGTTGGAAGTGACATTTGGAACAATTACACGATTCTAGGCTAGATAGATACATCAACTCCAATCCTAGCTCTCTGTAGATTCGATCCCGACCCAAAATCATGTAAAAGCTATTGCGACCCTATCTCGCTACTTTTTAGTGGTGCGGAGTTGGTAGCGATCACTTTTTGGCGCCGTTGCCGGGGAGCTAACGGTTTTGGCTATCTATTTAGTTAGTTTTGTGTGTTGTTCTTCTTTCCTTCTTTGTTACTAATTTGTGTGTGTGATTACTACAGGTA